CCCTCCGGGCCCAGTCATCCAGTCAGTTCTTTACCCAGCAAAGAGTGCACCTGTCCAAACCATGGGCTGCCAGCTTTTCCAGGAGAACACTGTGGCAGACAGAGTCAAAGGCTTTGCCAAATTCTAGGTAGCCCACATCAACAAGGCAGGTCACCCACTCATAGAAGACCGTGTTGGTCAAGCAGGACCTGCCTTTCCTATACTCATGCTGACTGGGCCTGATCTCCTGGCTGTCCCACACATGCTGTGGGATCTCATTCAAGATGATCTGCTCATAACCTCTCCTGGCACTGAGGTCAGGCAGACAGGCCTGTAGTTTCCTAGATCCTCCATACAAGCCTTCCTGTAGATGGGAGTCATGTTGGCAAGCATTCAAACCCCCAAGACCTCTCCAGGAATGCTGATAGATGGTGGAAAGCAGCTTAGCAATCAACTTCACCAGCTCCCTCGGCACCCTCTGGTGGATCCCATCTCAATCCATGAACTTGCAGCAGTCCAGGTGGGACAGTAGGTCTTTAAACCTCCCCATGATTCAGGTGGAAACAATTATTCTGCTGCCCATCCCACACTTCCAGGTCAGAGGGTAGAGCACCCTGAGAATAACTGATCTGACTTTTAAAGACAGATGTAAAGAAAGCACTGAGAACCCCAGCATTTTCCTTATCTTCAGCAGTCACGTTCCCTGCTGCACCTACCAAAGGATGGAGATTCTCGTTAGCCCTCCTCTTATTGCTAATATATTCATTTAAGTTTTTGTTGCCTTTTATTACAGTGACCTTGTTGAGTTCAAACTGGGCTTCTGCCTTTCTAATTTTCTCCCTGCATATCCTAACAACTTCTTTGTACTCTCCCCAGGTTGCCCATCCCTTCTTCCACAGGAGGTCAGACTTCTGCTCCTGGAGCTTCAGTTCCCTTTCCATTCACATCAGCCTTCTTCCCCACCAGCTCATCTTGTGGCACAGGGGATATCCTGCTCCTGTGCCTTTAACACTTCCTTTGTGAAGTGTGACCAACCTTCCTGGACCCCTTTTAACTTTCAGGACTGAATCCCAAGAGACTCCCCTCTCTCCCCCCCCAGAGTCCTGAACAATTCAAAGTCTGCCCCTCCAGAAGTCCAAGGCAGCAGTTTTGATGAGTTTCCCCTCCTGACTTCACCAAGAAAATCTAACATCTCATGGTTGCACTGCTCAAGACAGTTCCTAACCTCTGCATCTCCCACCAGTCCTTCTCTGTTTATGAACATCACATCTATGAGGCACCTACCTGGTATGCTCTCTTATCAACTGCATCATGAAATTATACTCCACACATTCTAGAAACCCCTAGACTGCTTCTTCTGTGCTGTATTACATTTCCAGTATATGCCAGGGAATTAGGACTTCCCCATGAGATGATGTTCACTTACTGTTCTCTGTGCAGAAGTGCTGCAATATCTTTGCCAGGTACCCACTGTTTGCAAGGTCAGTCGTAGCCCCTGGGCAGTTTGGAATCAGCAGTGCATGGTATCTAGCACCTAGTATAGAGGAACAAAAAGTAACTTAACTAAAAAACCACCTGACCATAAATTCATTTCAGATTCAACAAACTTCAGACAACAGTGTGTAAGTTGTTCAAAAGCTTCATAGACTGAAAGAACTAAGGAAACTGAATGATCTATGTGGAATAGAAGAGGAGGTAGGAGTTCTTTGTCCTAGGACACATTTTTAATGAGATGTTTCCTACATAGACAAACCTTAAAATCTCTGTCTGCTACTTCAGATATTAATTTTCTTAATAAGCATTTTGCTAAAATATGACATAGTAGTAAGAAGGAAGATAAACGTGGTTGCTATGGCTTCCTCTTAAAACAAAAGCTTTCATGCCTTTTCTGTACCCTTCTTCTCTAAAAGCACAACACGAAGAAGAATCTGTTTCCCTGATAAATGGAAGTGACACATAAGCCAACAGCAAAGACCTTACCATCAATTGACTCCAGCTTGGCAGGGTTTGCATATGGCTTCATACGGAAGTCCTGTATCCAGCGCATGTTGCTCTCATTCACATCCACAAAATCAATTGACTTGCCCTAGTGGAAAAAAGGTTTGTAAGCTACAGTTAGCATCAGCACACACAGGTTTCTACTACATTTCCTGAAGGACAGGCATGGGAGATTTCGAGACGCTTCAGGAATAGGCACCTCCAGCTTCTTCTGGCAGCCTGTCTGTGCCAGTGCCTCACCATACTCTGAGCAAAGAATTTCTTCTCCACATCTAATCTTTTACTTTACAAAATCTCCCCTTTTACTTTAAAATCTTCCCCCTTGTCCTATCACTACTTACCTGTGCTGCAATAAGGTCTCCCTAGAGCCTTCCCTTCTCCAGACTGAAGCTCAGCTCTCCCTCAAACTTTCCTCATTGGAGAGGTGCTCCAGCCCTCTGAGCACGCTCATAGCCTCTTCTGGATCTGCTACAACTCCACATTTCCCTTGTGCTGGGGGCCCCAGGTCTGCACACAGAAATCCAGATGGGGCCTAACAAGGGCAAAGCAGAGGGGGACAATCAACTCTCTTGCCCTGCTGGCCACCCCTCTGTTGATGCAGCCCAGGATGCATCCCTCTGGATGGCACTGCTTCCTTTCATTATATCAGTTGCACCACACAGCTAGCTCAGTGCCATCAGCAAAGTGCTGAAAGTACACTCCATACCACTGTCTATGTCACACAGGGTTCAAGGTGAAACCACACCAACAAAGAGCAGGATAATCTCTTCCCTTGCCTAGCTGGCAGTGCTGGGCCTGATGCATCTCCTCAGGGTATGGTTTGGCCCCTTGGGCTGCCAGGGAACACTGCTGACTCAGCTTCAGGTTGCCATCAGCAAGAACCTCCAGATCCCTTTCTATGGGGCTGCTCTCCTGCCTCTTGTCCCCAGGACTCTATGTATCTCCTGGATTGCTGCAGCTCAGGTGCAGAATTTGGCACCTGCTCTTAACCTGACACGCTCAGTTACTGCCCAGCCCTCACATTTGTCAAAGATCCCTCTGCAAGGCTTTTCTACCCTTGAGACAGTCAACAGCTCCTCCAATTTAGTGATACCTTCAAACTTAGGATACACTCAAATCTTGCATCTAGACAGCATCTCTACATCAAACTTTGCCTTTACAGATTAAGCGCATGATCCTATAGAGAAGGGTATGATTTAAAAGGCACAAAGCATGTAGCTGATTTTGTTAGCTCACGTCCTGTTGTTTTCAAGTAAAAGCACAGGAAGCATAAACATCTCCTGTTTATGCCATCAGCAAAATGGATGTAGTGTCTTTTTTTGGTTGGACCTACAAAGCAGTCTTCAGGAGACTGCTGAGCACTCGCATACACAGATATTTCCTTGCAGAACTGTGCTACTGAAGTCAAGGAGAATCTGCAAAACATGGTGACAAACTGAGAAAATATTGCTATTTGCTTTTGTTAATATTGCTTGGGAAACTGATTTCTGCTAGAGAAAGAAGCTCATAGAAAGGTACATCAGTTGCTCAATTCACAAACCAACACCCACCATATTCTGGCAGAAGGGATGAAGGTTCCAATAAAATAAGCAGTAATAGAGGAGATGAGAATGACAGCAGATGTTCTGATCTTCACTTCTTTCTCTGGCTGTTTCAAGGTATTTTAGAGGTGGCATTGCTGAGTAGTATAAATATGGATAAAATAAGTTTGGCTTCTATCCAAGTTTGAACTCAAGGAATAGAAAGAAAAGTAAATCAGGATACGATGAGTCTATTTATTTTAACTATTTCCAACACATCTTGTTTTAGTCAGCCTAAACTGTAGGATTAATCTGACTGATAGACTTATTGCTAGAGACAAACATGGTTATTAAATATGGTTGTCTGTTCATCTTTGTTCCTGTGTCTTGCTGTCTCTCAGTCTCAAACCGAGAACAACTAACTCTTCTCCTTTGCATTTTTTTTTAGTTACTTTTCTACTACCACCCATGCTTCAAGAGAGATTATCTACAACTGCTTGAATGCTTCAAGTGAAGAGCTGGCCTGAAGCAATGAGACACAGACATTTACAAATTGGAACAGGTTGCCCAAGGAGGCTGTGGATGCCCCATCCCTGGAAGCATTCAAGGCCAGGCTGGATGTGGCTCTGTGCAGCCTGGTCTGGTGATTGGCAACCCTGCACATAGCAGGCCAATGATTCTATGGCTGCCCCTGCTCTGCAGGGAGATATCTGAACAAGAGCCACCTGAGGAGCAGTGCAAGCACCCAGCTCATGCAGGAAACAGCTGCTGGGGAAGAGAGGAGCTTGCTAGCACCTGTCCAGACAGTGGCACCCATGGGTCCCCACCAGTCAATCACCCTAAGAAAGCCACTGCCCACTGCTCTAACTCTACCAGACTCTGCTGCAGCAGCAGAGAGGGAACAGTGCCAGCCTCTGGCCCCCTCCCTGCTGCCACCAAGCAGCAGACAGGCATCAGGTGCCTCTCCTGCTCCTCTACCTTACACAGTATCCAGTTTTACAACTGGTCCATCTCAGCAGGACCTTCCCCGCACCTCATATAACAGAGTGGCAGGCTCCTTGGGCCCTGCCTCTCTTTACCTCATCCCTTGCAAGCCATACTGGCAGCGTGCATGCTGATACAACCTGATGGGCAACACCATACTGCCCAAATTGCACCCGCAGCTCTCCCAGGGCGCATGCAGACAGTAAGCTCACACAAACCAGGGATTTAGCCTGAAATCACAACAATTCCAGTTCTTACTCACCCCAGGAGTGGCAACTTGCAGGTTGAAGGCAGAGCTGCTCAGCGTGAAACACTGCAGGAAGGACTGGGCTGACACCCCTGGAAAACAGAGCCCAACAGCCGCATTGTACCGCCAGCCGGGATTTTACCTACCCCAGGTCATTTAAAAGCTCAGGAGATCGTCAGAATGTTAATTCAAGGCCGCGCGCGGGAAGCGGGACCACACGAACACCATAGGGCCGCGCACCGCGGAGGGGAGGAGCCGGTCTGACAGGAAAAGGGGCCGGAGCAACTCGCGCAGCCGGGCCGGGAGGGAAGCAGGAGAGCGTTGGGCGACCCGGGGCTGCCCCCAGAGCGGCTCACCCGCGGCGGCAGCGCTGGCAACGAGGAGGCAGGTGGGTTTGCCGAGCCGCTCCGACATGGCAGGGACGGGCGGTGGTGCGCGGAGCCGGAGCCTCATGCAGCCGCGCATGCGCACTCGGGCAGGCGGAGAGCCGCCCGCCACGACCCTTGGGCGGGAAAACTGAGGGCAGCCGCCATGATGGGTTGCTCTGCGCTGCCTTGCTTTAAAGCCGTCGGCGCTAGCCCATCCGCATGCGCCGTGATGTGTAGTGGCCGCCGTGCTCAGGTTCCCTTCCGTAGGCTCTGTCTTTCCTCATCGGATTTTATGTTGATGTTTGGCTTTTTATGCCGGTTTTATATCCCGCCCTCTTCAAATTTGTTGGGCTGAAACGCTGAGTGCTTGCACCGACCTCCCTATGCCAGCGATAGCATGTTGCGAACGAAAAAACAGTGTAATGTCAATGTATCGCCTAATATTCAGCGCCCAGTCCAGTGGCTGAGGTGTTGGGTTTCCACCTTTCTCCCCAAATCCCTCTTCATCTGAACCAGAGCCTCTCAGTGACGCCCCATGTCGTGAGATTAATAAACTCATCCAAACCTCCCAGAAAGTGTCCTTCCCATCCCGTCCTTCACATGTCTTCTGATTTGTCTTCTCTGTGTTCAGCCTGGGCTTTTAGTAACGTTCCTCAAGGATAACATTTATTGCAGGCATTGCTGCTCTTGGTTACGTGGTGGTGTGGTTTCTGTGAACCCTGGATTTGCGTTTTCCATCCCTGTTAATTTCATTGGTCTGCGTCTTGATGGTTGTGAGTGTGTTACGAAGAAACTCACAAAATGATAGGTTATAAAATGAAAAGAAGACAATTCTGCTGCTACTTCTGTGCGATTTTTGGAAGGGACCTGATTTCCAGCCTGGTTTCCTATAGGAAAGGCAGCTCATACTTCATGCTGTCTGTCCACCAACCTCGTTTTTTCTCAAGAAGTGTTCCAAACCCACAACCGTGTTACACATGGAGGCGCCTGGACACTCCTGTCTGTTCAATCTGAGCTCCCAGAAAATGATTAAAACCCAAACAAACTGCCTTATTCTCTGTATCCACCTTGCAGGGAACGTGGTGCTCCTCCAGCAGCTTTAGTCCTTGTGGTACTGAGCTTTGGATTTGTAGTCCTTCTTCCTTACCTGTGAATCCATTTTAATTTATTTTGTAAGTGCGAGAGCAGAAAGCAAACCATTGTCTCAAGTTCTGCTCCACCAGCTCTTCCTATCCTCCCTAGACTGCCCAAAAATATAAAGCATGAGTGCACCTGGCAGTGATTTAAGGTGAGAACATACAGAAAGAAAAAAAAAAAAGAAGCATATGAGAGCCCCAATTCCTTAGAAATTAAATTATAGGGTGACCTCAACTCTCGATCTTCCAGTGCCAGTGTCTCTGCTTTGCACATGCAGAGAGGTTTTGTAAAAGCTCTTCTGTTCATTTCTCTTGCAGTGAGCACTCTGCTGAATGTGGGAGGTTAGCAAGCAGCTAGCACTGCTGTAGAATCACAAGGATGATAAAAAATATTTGCTACTTCTCTCAGTTTGCTTTAGTAAAGCCTGGATGTTGCAGTTGTGTTGAGTTGGCTGAGTGCTTCCTCTTTGAATCTGGTGTGGTACAACATAACCACAGCATTTCTCAGGAGTGCAGTGATTTTGTATCATGTCCTTTTGGGCTGAATGATGGCTAGAAATGAAAAGAGAGGGGAAGAGCAATTTGTAGCTTAGGATAGTTGCAAACATAGCCTTGCTTTACATTCATTTAAATTTTTTTTTAATAAGGAAGGATAAAGGTAAAGGAAAGACAGGAAGGATGATATCATGTCTGCACACCCATTTCTGCTACAAGGGCCTCTCTCTGGAAGGAAGATGCATTTCCCCCTGCATCAGTGCTTTTGAGCAGCCCAGGGAGGGCAGGAGAGGTTTCCACCCTTCCAGATGCTCACCCCTTCCCCACTGGCTCAAGGAACATTAAGCTTCACGCTCACTAGCTGGAAGAGCAGGCATCTGCCCATCCCAGTTCCTCAGAGACAGGATTCCGATTCAGACAAACCAGCCTGCAGAACGGGGATCTCTGGGATCAGAAGGTGTTGCCTGGATGGCTCTGGATAAGTCATTCAGCTATTCTACAGTTCATCCCCTATCTGGGAATAATATTAACAATAATCTTCCTTGGCCTGTTTTCCTCAGGTAGGCTGGAGTTTATTCTGGGCAGGGATTTCATTTTGCTATGGTTCTTACTGGGATCTCTGATCCTAGCCTTCAGAAAACATGACCGTGGCTGAGGAGTGAGAGGAAGGGAGGTATTTTCACTCGCGTACCCGCATACACAAAGATGCTCACAGGAGGAATTATACAATATATCTATATCTGTATATATATCTCTATATATTGTTTATTTCTCACAATCTTTGTAAGAGTTACAGGTGTATTGGGAATCATTTACAGTTTCACAGCATATGGAGTGGCCATACAGCTTCTAATGTGAGTAACATACAGTGTGTAGAGAGTACACATTTCCAGCCCATCCACCCACCACTCATACAATGGGTTTTCAAAGCTAATACTAGATTCAGCTATGTAGAAAGCCTGGTAAATGTTAGGATACAGCGTTGGGTGTCGTACAACACTGTCAGTCACAACGGGACAAGCTAAACTACTTTAATTTTCAATCTAGTATTTCTAGTCTACCTGCATTATTGCATTTATACGCTTTTTTTTTTTTTTTTTAAGTCAAAGTAAATAGAATACTATATGGGAAAGGAAAAATTCTTGACTATTTTAGGATTTGAGCTGCAGCCCATACAAAGTGTCCATAGAAGCATAGACAAGGTTATAAATTCAACAAGGTATAAATTAGCTCTATAGCTTTGTGTGTAGGTAGGTGTCCATTTCCCTCCAGGAAATGTATCTAGCAGCATACTGTTTCTGAAATTAAAAAAATAAAAATAAAAACCAACCCAAACCTGTATGTTGAACACAAGTAAATATGTGTAAGTGGCAAGCAGGTCTGCAGAGTGACAAAATGTCACTCTGAAAATTATTATCAACTGGAAAATGCATCCAGGGGCTGATGCAAAACCCACGGATGTCACAGCAGGCATTTCCCTGCTGCTAGTGGTTCAGCTTCCCATCTGACTTCCAGGGGCTTTGAGTCAGTCCCTGCAAAGTAACAGAATAAAAGCGAACTGAAAAGAAGAAAAGAAATCCCCTGTAATCGGACCTTCGAGTTCCCTTTCTAGAATTTTAGTTTCTCTACATGTTTATAAGCAACCTGCACCTACTACTAGAAGGAAGCTGGTTTGTACTGGAGAATTGAGGTTACACCTTTTAAAGATTTGGACTGAAAGGGTTATAACCAGTGACTCAGAAAAAGGCATCAGGCTGAAGAAGGGCTGCTCAAAACTGGATAAAGCCAAATGATTCATTTGTTGTTGCTGTTTTTGGAACAAACTGTATGGCACCTTGTTCTTATCACATTGTCCCAGAAACTTGACTGCTTGAAGCTGATGAGGCAAAACCAGGGATACAATGCAGGTCTTTACTGTTGCGGGGTTGATTAAAGAGTCCTCTCTTCCTGCTGGGAGTTTTGGTACTGGAGCATCATCAAGCATGGACAGAAGGAAACAATAACTTTATTCTTGGGATCCTGCACTGCAGATTTGCATTATGAGAAATTAAAAACTAGAATGGAGTAGCCTGGGAATTTCAAGCTGGTAACAACTGGAAAAAAATAATGAGAGCAAGAGTAACATAGCCAAATGCTGCTGGTCTAAGTCCTATTTAATCCAAGTTATATTTTTCAGCAAAAAAGATCTATTTAATCCGAAGAGCACAGCCTCCAGGAGCAGAGAATGTGTCTCCCTACACACTGCTTGTCAGTGTCCAAACAGAACAAACACTTGGAATCATTTTGGTTGGAAGAGATCAAGTCTTCACAAAGCAGCCAGCAGAATGAGTGCAGGGTAGAGCCAAACTCATGCATTTGAAAACCAATTACTGTGATCTTTTCTGCATGCACTGAGTGCTAGCTTTTTAGTATGGTTTTGTTGAATGACGTGAATTTTCCAGGTCCAGCCATCTCGTGTAACTTCATAAAACTCGAGCAGCCCAGTCAAAAAGAAACATTCCTGCAGTCTTCTGTGTCCTCTGTCCTGCAGCTTGTAGAGGATGAGGGCTGCAGTGCATTACCTACATATGGTCTGACTCTGCAAGGCCAGAACCTTGACTTCAGCTGAGAGCCAGCTCTCTGCCTGTATTTCTGGTGGTCCAATATGTAGAGTACCAGAGCATTCCTAGCTTCAGCCAGGTGTAGTGTTTGCATACGCTGCATTAGCATCTCTCCAATAGCCTGAATACCCTCACATCCAACTGGCAGGCAGCTCTTGGGTCTCCAGTCCCAGGAAGAGCTTGCAGCCATACAGCATTTCTCTGAGTAAGGACAAGAATGTGACCTTCCAGACACGGTTTTCTTCTCTACTGAGCTCCTGTGGCAGGCAAGCATCTTGCATTTCAAACCCCACAGCTTTAGCAACCAGGATAAATGAATACTTGGTATTTCCCACTGCACCACACAGTCTCTGCACTCCCTCTAGGTGCAGAGAGGCTGAACTTTGGCTGTATCTGTTAGGTGAGGCTGCCCAAAATCTGCCTCTGCACTGGGGCAGGGCTTCTGCCTCTCTGTGGAGAGGTCACATCTGCAGAGTTGCCTGGGAATACAGTAAAGTAAGTGAAGCAGCAGTAAAGAACAAGCAATGAACCAAATTTCTAGAAACCAATGGAGCCATGAAAACCTGGTGTGACCAACCTAAGAATCCAGGCTTTTAAAAGGAAAGTAGGTCGCATGGCTGGAGTGATGAACTAAAAGGAAGAAAGTCGTCATCATGAAGAATCCTTTACTCAGCAGGTTTAACTCTTCAGGGCCAATCGAGGTAGTGTGATCTAGCTAAATAATGCAAGAAGCAATAAAAGGCTAAAAAATTATGTTAGAACAGAGCTGAATGGCACGTGTGGCATGCT